CTTACCAAGTAGGATTTAATGCAAGTGGAAAATAACGTAGTTGTCTCCTTAGACTTTAAGTGCCATCTTTATTAAATGAACAAAACAGAACTCTTAAGGACTTTCAGTAAGGGATGGTGGATTGAACAATGCCTCTAAATATGCTCCTTCCAATATTTCCTTAAAATTATGGTAAAGATGTATTGTAAAGATATAATCTACAAGTATAGGAAGTAAGAAGAGGAGACACAGCAATAGAATTTTAGAGGCAGAAAAATATCCTGATGAGGAAAAACTGACATAGCAACCCAAGAAATTGAAATCCTAGGCTGGCCAGGGAGGAAGCCAAGTACTGATTCCATTTCTATCTTAGAGTTCTCAAAAGGCTTAGGATTTGGAGGTGCTTGATACCTCTGAAGGGAAAGTAAAGAAATGGTAGCTGAAAAAAGGAAGATAAGGTAAAAGCTATTTAAGAAGTAGCTATCCTCAAATTCATGTTTCTTCATGACTGATTAACTCCCATTTTAAGAGAATAATTCACATGGCTGGAGAGAGGAAAACAGGATTTCTGGCTTGAGGCCTCCCGGCATAGTGGAGAGCAGTGGAGCTCTTCTGAAAGCAGGAGACTATGTGATGCTATGAGGGATTAATGGTGACATGCACTATCTCTTCCATTCACATATCAGAACACTTGTAGCCAGGCCTTTGCCTTCTAGCCAGGAGATTGAAAATGTCTTTTTTGAGGAATCTGACCAATACAAAGAGGAAAGCTCTCAAGTTATTGAGATTGGGTTACAATGTACAGTGAAACTCAAATAACCTGATCCATGTGCTCAGAATTTCCAAAGTGTTCTTAATTTCTGACCCTAAAATATTAGCAGATAATTAAAGATATCCAGATACCTGAGGAAGACTTCCAATATGAAATAAGAACAGAAAACCAAACCCAAAAAAATGACTAAACAAGAAATAAACAAACAAAAAACACAGGAAACACTATTTAGAGAGAAAAAAACTCAAGAACATCAATATTTTTACAGATAGATAAGATAGTGCCTCTATAAAATCAAAACACAATACTAAAAAAAAGAAAAAAAAAGAATACTTGGAAAATAAAAGGACCTCTTGGAAATTAAGCACAACATTGTGGAAACAAAGAATGCAGTATAAAAGTTGGAGGTGGGGTGACTAACTCACCACAGTTTGTCTTAGCACTAAAAGTCCCACTCCTGGGAAACCTCTCTATCCTGGGTCACCTTAGTTGGAGGATGATATGGTTTGGCCCTGTGTGCCCACCCAAATCTCTTGTTGAACTGTAATCTCCCGTGTTGGGGGAGGGACTTGGTGGGAGGTGATTGGATCATGGGGGCAGATTTCCCTCTTGCTGTTGTCAGGACAGTGAAACAGTTCTCATGAGATCACGTTGTTTAATATGTGCAGCACTTCCCTTTCACTCTCTCTTCTGCTGCGCCATGGTAAGATGTGCTTGCTTCCTCTTCGGCCATAATTATAAGTTTCCTGAGACCTCCCACCCATGCTTCTTGTACAGCCTGTGGAACTGTAGTCAATTAAACCTCTTTCCTTTATAAATTACTGAGTATCAGATAGTTCTTTATAGCAGTATGAGAACAAACTAATACAGAGGACAAATTAACTAAACCTCTCAAGCTGATGAGCAAAAGAAAAAGAGATGAGAATTGGACTATCTTAAAAAGTCCAACATCCAGAAAGAGAAGAGAGAAGAAAAGGAGAAGGAAATGATAAAATAATTCATGAAAATTTTCCAAAATGTTACAGAAAAAGGGCATCAAGTTCCTACAAAAGGAGATGAAAATATACCCATGGCAAAGCACATACTGGGGAATTTTCGTATTATTGAGGGCAAAAAGAAATCCTGTGTGCTTCCAGAGGGAGAGGACAACAAAAAGTGTCATTTACAAATAATCGGAAATCAAAATGGCTGGGCTTCGAAACCACGCTGGACAATACAATAATCCAGTATAATAATGCTTTCAAAATTCTGAAAGAAATTATTTTCCAACCTGGAATTTCATATTCAAACAACCAAATGTAAGAGTAGAAGAAAGTCAGTTTTCAACATGCAAGTTATTGGAAATTGGCTTCCAATACTCCATTTTCCCAGGAAGCTCCTTTAGGGTCCAGTAAATATGAGACAAAATTAAAAAAAAGTAAGACACAGGCTATTAGAAACAGGAGATCGAGGCCCGGCACGGTGGCTCAGGCCTGTAATCCCAGCACTTCGGGAGGCAGAGGCAGGCGGATCACGAAGTCAGGAGATAGAGACCATCCTGACTAACACGGTGAACCCCCGTCTCTACTAAAAATACAAAAAATTAGCCGGGCGTGGTGGCGGGCACCTGTAGTCCCAGCTACTCGGGAGGCTGAGGCAGGAGAATGGCGTGAACCTGGGAGGCGGAGCTTGCAGTGAGCCAAGATCGCGCCACTGCACTCCAGCCTGGGCGACAGAGCGAGACTCCATCTCAAAAAGAAAGAAAAGAAAAGAAAAGAAAAAAGAAACAGGAGATCGAACATGGGAGAGAGACAAATTAAATACCCAGGATTATGCTAAAGAGAATCACGGGATAATAATGTATACAAACATAGAAGGCAATTAGCACAGATTGAAACATACGTATTGAAGCTGTCACCACCAAGAATCCTTTCACCTTTGTGTTGTATTCCAACTGACAGTACTCAAGTGAGCTTGGCCAAGGTTCTTAGCTCTCTTTTGCCTGTCCAAGTGCTGGTAAGACTCTGCTCTCCCTCGCTGCCCAGCTGCCTGGATAGAGTGAGGACAACAACTGATCCTACAGAAACATTCATGTTTGACCTACTCCTAAGAGCTGGGGATTGGCAAAGGTAAACTTAGAAGCACAAAACACAGAGTAGCACACTCTCTGCTAACATTTTCCTCTTGATTGGATAGAACTTGATTCTGCCAGATAACTGCATTTGGTGAACCCGTTGCTTTCCATGGATGACCATGGGCTTGCCCCCGACAACCTGAGAATTGATTTTTACAACCTCCAAGAAAAAAACTGAAACCTGAATATAAACCAGAGACCGTTCAAACCACTTTTCCTAAGCATCTGCAACTATCAATAATAACACTGTTCTTTTCTCACATAGTTAGTCTTGTGTTTGCTACTTGGTTGTCATATTAATCACTTTTACGCTGATTAATAATTTATTTAATTACTTGGTAAAACAATGAAATGTCTGATTTAGAAATAAAACAAAATTATAAGTCAGAATCATCTTTAATGGACAATTACTGCATATGTTCCATTAAAGTTACCCACTGACATGGCTTTCATTTCATTTTCATTCAATGTTAGAGGCATTAACCAATGAAATTAGACAAATGGAAGAAATGAAAACTATAATAACTGGCAGAGAGGAGACAAATTTATCACTGTGTTAGGTGAACTGATTTTTTTTCATGATAGACCCAAAACTGCTAAGAGAATCAAGTGAACGACAATTACAATCAGTACTATAATTCAGAAATGTGTCTTGGTAGAAAATAAATAGCTGTTGTGTACTGATACAGAACAATTCCAAAATTGTCAAATAAAAAAAATCAAACAAGACACAGAATATTGTAAAGAGGATGTTATCTTTTTAAATTTTAAATTTAAGTTTCTATTTTTTCTTCAACTTTGAAGTTCCAGGGTACATGTGCAGGATGCCTAGGTTTGTTACATAGGTAAATGTGTGCCATAGTGGTTGGCTGCATGGGTCAACACATCACCTAGGTCTTATGTCCAGCATCCATTAGCTATTTTTCCTGATGCTCTTCCTCCTCCCACAACCCTGGACAAGCCCCCGCGAGTGTTGTTCCCTCACCATGTATCCATGTGTTCTTATTTTTCAGCTCCCACATCTAAGGGAGAGCATGTGGTGTTTTGTTTTACTGATCCTGCATTAGTTTACTGAGGATAATGGCTTCCAGCTCCATCCATGTCTCTGCAGAGAACATGATCTTGTTCCTTTTTATGGTCACAGAGTATTCCATGGTGTATATGTACCACATTTTCTTTATCTAGTCTATCATCAGTAGGCATTTGGATTGATTCCATGTCTTTGCTAGATGCTATCTTTTAAAAATAATAAATGTATGCCTGTGCTGAGTGGGTAAAATAAGATATAGATTCGTTTTGCTTGATTGGTAGAAGACACATACCTGTATGTAGGCCCTTTCTACAACTTTTCTTTGTAGCCTCAAGACTTCGTACTCTTTTGATTTCCTTGCTCCATTCACATAATTTATGGCCTCATGTAGTAGTTCCTACTTCCTAAAAGGCATTCATCCTGTTTCCATGTTAAAGAGTCACTCTAGTTTAGGCCTCATAACCTCCTTTCTTTGTAGTTGCACTCCTCTCTTTGTTGCACTACGAGTTTCTCTCCAAAACAACACATTGCCTAGAATCAAAGACCTCATTCATTCTTTCCAGACCCACCTCTCCCTGATTCCTTATCCATGACAAACTCAACTCCGAAACTTACTATGTCATGAACTAAACCTTGTACTTCTGCCCCTGCCCTCACGTGTTAATATTCTGCACAATGCCCTCCCCGTGACTCCCTGATTTCTTCCAGACAAAAATCACAAGCATCTTTAAATTAATTTCCATGACTACCTACCTCTTCCATGACGATGTTCGTTTGGATGGATTTCCTTTGGATGGATTCTCTTCTTCCTTACACATATCTCCCCTTAATACTTTCAAAAATAAACCTGGTACGCTTCAGGAGACATTCTGCAGGCACTTGTTTTGTTCTGCTGAAGAGGCTGGAGGTGGGGAATGAAAGGAATTTTTGAAAGAGACACACAATATACACTGAAAGCAGGTGTCTCATGAGGGACACCTCCTCATGAGGAGAGGTTTTCTTCTTACTGGTAAAAGATTCTGATCTATGTCTATCATAGACCTGATTCCAAACATGCTTGACTTTTTTACACTAACATCCTCTTATGCTTTTCTTCTTCCCCCTAGGATGTAACAGTCCCTCCCAAGCCTGTCTCGCTCCATCCTTTATATCAGACTAAACTCTATCCTCCTGCTAAGTCACTGCTGCATCCACAGACCCTCTCACAGGCTGACTGTCTTGCCCCAGGACCCTTCAGTCATCTGTCCTTCTCCTTGAGTGATGAACAGGATAATTCTCACACCCTCCTCAGTCACAATGCATGCAACAAGGTGAGAACTCCTCCCCAAAATGAGGATTATTCTGTGCTGTGAACCTTCATTACACTTGACTTTTAAAACTTAAATGTGGAGGAAACTTATGTGTTAGAAATATTTAAATATTAAATATCTAAATGTATAAAGAATATTAAATATTTGTGTGAAAGCATATTACCTTATAAGCAGATAATAATTGAACTTGGGAAATAATAACCATTTATATATTTTTCCAAAGTCATTCACTGATTTGTATTTTTCATTGTTCTATGTTCTAACTCCATGGTGGAAATTCCAAGACATTTTTCAAAACCTCACAAAATGCCATTATTAATTTATATTCTAGTCTTAGTTCAGTGTTCCTAAAAACCTTCCTCAAATTACAGTGCCTTGTTGAGGAGGCACTTATGATTAGAGTCAATGGGCAAAAAATGACTTAGAATTACTGTGAGTATCTGCAAAATAATATTCACATTTTACTGTAAAATGTACCTGTCTGCTTCACTGTGTATAGTAATAGGATATGTAAAAAATAATGAAGTGTTTCATACCTGAAATGTGTGTGTGTGTGTGTGTGTGTGTCTGTCTGTCTGTCTGTTTGTCTGAGTGTGTATGATACAAAACAAGTAAAAAATATTTATAGTTGACTTTTGAATTCAATCATAAATTTTTTCTAGGAACAAGCAGTTAAACTATATGGGGCTTACATATAAGTGCCCTTTGCTCTTCCGTTAAGGGCATCCTGGCTAGTACAGATGCTCAGACCCTGAAAATTTCCTAAAATAATTGACTGGTTAAACTTTAATTAAATCTTTTTGTGAAATTCAAAATCCTGTTTAAAAGCATTTATTCTACAAGATATCTATCTCCAATTAAATACATCTCTAAACTTAGAAATCAATCAAGATCATCTTCCAGAATGTAGTTGGATAATACTCCTTGGAGCCTGAGGCATTTTTAAAGAAAAAAATGTCGGTAAACTCTGTCTAAATGCAAACAGTTATCTAAAAGCAAACACTATAATACTATTACATTAGGAAAAAATAGATTTTTATATTTAATAGCTTCTGTGACAATTGCATGATCAATTTTGATTAAACGAATTTTATAATATCAATTTTTTGCCAATAAATGTTTTTGGGCAACATTCAATATGACATTTATCTGACCTTTGTTTGTGTCCCACTCTTGGACTAGAAAATAAGTATATGAGAGAAAGTATAATATTTTAAAAATTATTTCATATTATTTGAGATTCTTTCTGATTTAATATTTACCAACAGCCATGAAATCCATTTAGTTATTTGAGTTAATAATTCTGATAATAATATTACCATTTTCTTATAAATTGTCATCTATGATAGGGTTATGATTTAATTTACAGATATCAATTACATGATATAGCTCATTTTTTTGATATTTTGAGAGTGTTTTCTGGAACTGTTCAGCAAGGATAGACTCATTTTATCCATATTTCAGCCTTTGTTTAGTTAGGCTGAGAAGAATAAAAGCTGTGTGAAATTGGACAACTATTTTCAGTCCACATAATCCTCATAATAGATCTTGTCTTTTTGAGTGTGAGGTTTATTGATACTGAATAAAGAACCATTCAGAACCAAAATAATGACAGTAATAATAATAATATAGCAATACAACATTTTTAATGGAATGTTCAGTTCCTTAGTCTAGAATCTGTATTGTCTTATTAAAGAATTACCAATTTGATGTCTACATTTACGAACATTGTTTGTTAGATACTGGGTCAATAGCATACTAATTTATCAGGATTTTTTCTTTTTAATTGAAATAACTTAATGCCTTTAATTGTAAGACATAATCTCTTATTTAATTAACTTTTATCTAATACCCTAACATCATTCCCAAGTCTGACCTTACAGCTTTGCCTACTGGGTTATCTCCAAACTCAAATCTTCCCATCCTTCCCTCTGGACAACCATGCTGAACTTGTCTTACAAATCTTTAGAGTCCCTCTTTAACTGGGCTACAATAGGTGTTCAACAGGTTTTATTCTTCTGCTGCTGAGTCTGCAGTGTGCGCTCTTCTCTTCTAAATTTTCATCAAACTCCTCATGTCCTAAATCTTCATCCTAATCCATCCCTTACTTTTTTACTTTCAAGATGGAACTTTATAACTGGGTACATCATATCGTATAAGGATGCTCAGGTACTTTCTTTTCATCCTGGAATAAAACAGTACAACTGCCTTCTTCACTTCCTTGCAGCCTCATGAAGGGGGTCATTCCTTTTACTTTCTTTTCTTTTTTTTTTTGCTTTATATACATTTAATCGAGATATAAATGTACAGGAAACATGGCAGGTTTGTTACATAGGTATACATGTGCCACGGTGGTTTGCTGCACCCATCAACCCATCATCTACATTATTTCTCCTAATGCTATACATATTTCTCCTAATGCTATCCCTCTCTGAGCCCCCCACCCCTCCAACAGGCCCCAGTATGTGATGATCCCCTTTCTGTGTCCATGTGTTCTCATTGTTCAGCTCCCACTTATGAGTGAGAACATGCAGTGTTTGGTTTTCTGTTTCTGTGTTAGTTTGCTGAGAATGATGGTTTCTGTCTTCATCCATGTCCCTGCAAAAGACATGAACTCATCCCTTTTTATGGCTGTGTAGTATTCCATGGTATATATGTGCCACATTTTCTTTATCCAGTCTATCACTGATGGGCATTTGGGTTGGTTCCGGGTCTTTGCTATTGTGAATAGTGCTGCAATAAACATACGTGTGCATGTGTCTTTATAGTAGAATGATTTATAATTATTTGGGTGTATACTGAGTAATGGGATTGCTGGATCAAATGGTATTTCTGGTTCTAGATTCTTGAGGAATAGACTCACTGTCTTCCACAATGGTTGAACTAATTTACACTCCCACCAACAGTGTAAAAGAGTTCTTCTTTCTTCACATCTTCTCCAGCCTCTGTTGTTTCCTGACTTTTTAATGATCACCATTCTAACTGGCATGAGATGGTATCTTATTGTGGTTTTGTTTTGCATTTCTCTAATGACCAGTGATGATGAACTTTTTTTCATATGTTTGTGGGCTTCATAAATGTCTTCTTTTGAGAAGTGTCGGTTCATATCCTTTGTTCACTTTTTGATGGGGTTGTTTGTTTTTTCTCTTGTAAATTTGTTTAAGTTCTTCGTAGATTCTGGATATCAGCCCTTGACAGAAGGATAGATTGCAAAAATTCTTTTATCCTTGAAAGTGAGATAGCCCAGCACATAAGAAAATGATGCCTCTAGTTCCTTTGTCTGAGTTTATTTCTTGCCCCAACGCTTTTTACATGGTGATATTGGGCAAGTCATTTAACTTCTGAATGCCTCTGTTTACTCATTTTAAAAATAGGAATAATAATAGTATCTACCTTATTAGAGTATTATGAAAATAAAATTGACAAATATGTGTAAAAGTGCCTGAAGATAATGAAAAACATAAAAATTAGGTCTTATTATCACTAAGCTTTCTGGGATTGTCATTCTTACTGCTTTCCAAAATCGTCCATTCTTCTCCATTGGATTCCTCCCCTTTGTATCCAGAAGCCTAAAAAACAAAATAAAACAATACAAAAGGAGGACTTCATCCTTTTCCTTGATGATGCTGCAAATCTATCAGTTTCAAAATGTTCTTTCTCTCAAAGTGGTCAATAGCCACTATCTCCATCCCCTTTCTATAAACTCACTCTTTAGCCCATTCTTGAAAGCATTCTGACTTTCACCTCTACCAGTCTACTCAAATTGCTGTCAAGGGTAAACTGGTTGTCAGCAAATTCAGCTGAATTTCCTGACACAGTTGATCATTTCCTCTTGCATTTCTCTCCTCACTCTGCTCTTGGGTTAATACGCACATTCTAACTTTCTGACTGCTCCTTCTTTGCTTTCTTTGTGGACACTTCTTGCTCCTCTACCTCTTCTTTCTAATTGCCTCACTTCAGCTATTTACCCATTCACAGGTCTTAGTGATTATCTTAGTACTGATAAGTCTCAAATCCACACTTCCCGTTCTGCTTCTCCACTGAGATTCAGTTTCATATCTTTAGCTGCTTGCTTATCATTTCCCCTAGGATGTCATGTTGTCACCTCAAACTCATCATTCATTTTGTCTCAAACTAGTTTTGCACTGGCTCTTCTACTTCTGTTATTAAAACCACAATTCTCAGTTCCCAAACTCAAAACTTGATTCATCTGTTATGCTTTTTGCTTTTTCTGTTTTGTCCTTATGTTGAGTCATTCACCAGGTTGAATGCATTCTTATATTTTTTTCACACTAGTCTTTATTATTATTATTTTACTTTCCTTAACTGATATTCTTATTTTCCTCTAGGCATGCCTTGGAAATTCCTTACTGTTCTACTTGTTCATGCATTTTCCCACATAAAATACTCTTCTACGTTCTCCTGTCTTATACAAACCATTCTTGTACTTTAAGTTCGCGTTAAATTATCCCTCCTCTTCTGTGACATTTCTCCGTGCATCAGTACTCAAAGTGATTTGTTTTCTCCCTTCAATTTCTATACTCTTTTCCTGTACCAAGGCATCTCCTGCATGTTATAGGTCATCTTGTATTTATTTGTTGTGTTTGTCTTGGTGTCTATCTAGAGTGTGACATAATATGCTATTTCCCACCTTATAGGCAAGGTAGCAAATATCTATTAGTGACGAACAATTTGTACAATTACCTAACTTTTTCACCAGGAGCCCCAGATGCTTGAATTATTATGATTATTTCTATGTCAAGTAAAGACTAAATCTGAATCAACTTATGGATTTACCAGTTCATTTAGAATAACGTCACTCAGTTGAGGATATTTCTTTTATTGAAGGCTATATCCGGTTTCCACAGATCTGATGGAGTGTATTGGGAGCATAAGTAGGGTGGGGTTATGGAGGCAGGGGGCATCCGACCTTCTCCTGAGGTGTTCTCGTTCCTTTCTGTTATACAACCGCGAGTCGTATAATACATGGTTACATCCTT